TGGAGGGGATTTGACCATGACTGTCAGTGACAAGTGGAAATCTGTCACTCTTAGTGGAGAGGTATTTGCAGGGTTACGGAAGGATGCTTCAAAAGATCAAATAAAGGAGAAAGGACTGGGAGATTTTTCTCTTCAGATTGTGACCACTTCTATTTTTTAACCCAGTCAAGTACCTGTTACAACACTTTGGTCACCTGACTCAATTACTACAGGGTTACGTGTTGGTTACATCAACTAGTATCTGTGTTTGTAATCTGGTCACGGGGCAAGATTGTAATTGGGTCCCCTGACTTGGTTCTAGTTAAGGTGTAGATGAGGTCTTTGCATCGACCCAGGGTCATTCTCTTCTAGTATTAAGGAAGTGCTTTAAAGTAAGCTGATCTTTGGGTCACTGTCTAGTGGCTCCTTTTCCCCACTGGAAGAATGCAGAGAAGTGAAAATCCTCAGCACAGCTGTTGGGTGACCTTTGAGGCGTGCTGGGTTTGGACAAACTTTGGTGACCATGCAAAATAAAAAACATAGAAAACAACACAGGAAAAGTGCTGAATCATTGGCCCATCTACGCTGCCTTCCCTTGTGACTGCAAGTCAGCGTATTGCTGGCAACCCGGTGGAAAGCTGGTCCAGGGCTATTCTGATCAGATGAGTTCTTGTGTGTGAAACCCCTTCAGTTAAGGCAATTTAAAAAACAAAAAGCCAACATCGCTCCATCTGCATTTCATTTTATTCAGCCTCCCCTGCTGCGCTCTGGCTATGCTTCCATTCAGCCCACTGCCATGCTGCTAGTAATGGGCTTTCCTGGTCCGTCTCCCAGAACTGCTGGTCAGGGGAAGACTGATCCTGTGCTACCTTGCTCCTTATGTGGCTATGCCTTACAAACCCTACTCCACTGTAAGCTAGTGGGATGTTTATTGGCTAGCACTTGGGGACAGTATAAATGAGCACAGCAGGGGCAAGGCAGTAGAGAATCATGCTCAGGATTCCATAAACTGATGTAGTCAGGCATGTGTCCCGTGCTAATCCCTCCTTGCCTGCAATAAGGGGTTAATTTTTTTGAGTTCTAGCAATAATCGGATAGCACCACTGCCTCCCCATTACAGTTTATTATAATGGATCACTAACTCCTTAGTGATCTGAGCTGCCTTACAAAACTGCTAAATACTTAGGATCCTGCCTCACTGCAGCTGGCTATACAATGCAGTGTCCTTTTTAATCAGGACCCTGAGGTTTGGAGGGTGTTTTAGGGCAAAAATTGACCTCCCTTCCTCATAGCTTTCCCTCTAAGGTCCTGATTGTCTGTGGATCAGGGCCTGAGATTTTTATTTTAGTTAGCCGTCCCTTATTACTAAGCACCCATCAAGCCTGGGGCCCCCACTGTGCTAGGCACTGTACAAACACAGAGTAGCAGATGGTCCCTGCCCCAACAAGTTTACAGTCCAAATTGACCAGACCGGTGCAGCGTGGGAGAAGGGTAAATTCAGAGGAAAGAAAAGTGAGGGGAAGAGGAGTGAGGGGGCAGGACAGAGAACAAAAGGCTAAGAGGGGCAGGTGTAGAGTGAACTGGGGTGAAGAGATTGGGCAGTGGGATAGGGTCGGATCAATCGGCAGAGGAAGTTCTTGGTATGTCTGGTCCCTGCTTTGGCTGCCTCAGTACCTGCTCCTACCAGCTAGACTTGAGCCTCCGGCTGATTTTCTCACTGCAGTTTTTCCCCAAGACCACATGGGGGAGGAAGGGCCAGGGGAAGTCACCATCTGCGTCCTCGTGCCCCCGGAGTGTGTGTTTTGGGGTGAGGCACTTCCTTGCATAGTTCTGGGTCAGAAGAAGGGGGAAGAGCAGCTCCAGCTGGACCCCATTTTACCCTCTCCGCACAGTGCAACAATCCATGGTGTGTGGCTTTCCTTTGCCCCCAATCCTGATAGTTCCCAACACCAGGAATAAACTTTAGGAAGGTGGGGAGATGTCCTCCATCATGTGAGAGTCCCAGTAAGCAAACCCAGAGCATCTGTGTGCCTCACACCCAAGGGCTGTCCCAGCTCTCCACTTCCTTCTGCCATAAATTGGAGGGGGACTGCCCTTCCCTCCCTGCAATCGCTCCTATAACAATAAGCAAAATTTTGCTGCTGCTCGGGGATGCCATCTATGCCGCATGAACAGGAGCGCCAGGCCTGCCTAACTGGTGTACTCTGTACCGCCATCTCTGTGTTCAGCATGCTGCAGTCCAGGGCATCCAGCCACCCGCACATGTAGCTGGCTGATAAACTAGACTCCAAGGTTGCTTCTAAACTGCTGGTCCAGCTCTTTCCCCACAATACTGACAACGCCTCTCCCACCCCCCTTCGTTAAACTCCTCCAGGCACATCTAGTGCAATCTCTTGCTACCCCCTGGCTCAGGGGAGCTGTGTTCTCCTACGCTTGACGCTTGAAAAGTTTCTGATCCCTACTAGCCTGCCAGCCAGGGTGGGAAATACTTGTGCTGCCGCTCCTACCTCTTGCAATTTGCGGGAATCAGACTCTTGTGCACTGTAATTGTCACAATGCCAGTTGGCTTTCTAATTTTTTTTTCACCTTACTCCCTCTTTTCACTTTGTAATAGTTGTGTTTCCTTCCTGGCTTCACTCCACCTTTTTGTTTCTTTCCTATAGTAGATGGAGGTGTGTCTTCAGCATTTGCCTAGGATCTTCCTTTTCTCTCCCTCCACCACTTCTCTGCCTTCTCACCTCTATTTTTTATCTTTGCTTTCTTTCTCCCTCCCCCTCACCTCCCTGCAATAAACAAATCATCATGTCTCTGTGAGTTTCCTAACTTATCTTTTCCCTCTCACTCACTCACAAATAGGGGTTGAAAATCTTTCCAGACTTCTGTGTACCATTGGACTAAAACTACTAGCCACCAGAAGTTGGTCCAATAAAAGAGATTACCTCTCCCATCTTGTCTAGCCAAAGCCTGGTAAGAACGAAGGGAAGGCATTACCCATGTGAGAAGCCAGCCCCATGTCTAGCTCCTTGGAGTCCTACTTGGAATCTCTGTCTTTGATCCTTGCTCAAGGGCTTCTTTCATACCAATCCCTGGCTTGCAGGTCTAGTAGGTGATCATTGTGTACTCCCTATTATACCTATCCCCTCCCTGCTGGAAGGGAAACTGAGCATTTCTCTCACTCTCACACCTACCTTTTTTTTTTTTTTTTAAGCTGCAAGGGTGCTTGGAAAGTTCACTGCTACTCTACCTCTATCTCAGCCTGTTTACGAGTCCTGACTCCTCTCCACTGCCCAGTGACTAGCTTCATGTATGCTGCTGCTACTTACAACTTTTCCCAGTGTCAGCAGAGCTGAAACTAACCTGATTCTTGGAATGGCAACAATGCAAATTGGCGAACCTGTGGTCCAGTTTCACTCTGCTGCAGCTTGGCAGAGTGAAGATCAGCTGCAGAGGCACCTGGCTGTCTCCAGACTCAGGCTGCACTGCATCAGTACACACTTGGTTCACAGCTGCAGGGTTCTCTTCACTGTCCTAAGGATTAGAAACTTCTTATTTTAATGAAAACTTCAAATGAGCAGAAGCTAATGGCCCTAACCTGGGAAATCTACCTACCCAGCACACAGGAGCAAGCAAGTGTAATCTAGCCCTACTTACAGTTGCATATTGGAGTTAGAACAAAAGCTCAGGGAGGTGGATGCCCAAGGTACTGTCTGCGGGCAGCCAACTTTTTGTGGCTGATGCTTTGTTTTACATTTTAAAAAATAAATGTGTTTTTTTTTTTTTTTTTTTTAAATGAGTGGGAGTGAGCTGGTAAGAAACTAGAGGGATGTCAGGCTTGTCTAGGCAGGATAAAACCACCACAGAGGTGCACATCCATCTGCCAAAGGAACTGATCTATGTACAGTTTTGTTATGCTTGGGAGGAGCTGGAAGGCGACGGCCCCATATCCATGCTGGGGCACCTGGAAGAGCATAGAACACAGGGGTTTCACGTACTGATTTAGAAGGACCTGTTCTGTTTCGCACAGGATTTTCCTGGCTGACATTAGTTACTACCTGCTAAGAACTGACAGCAGGTGGGGTACTTGGGAGATGACAGAGTCACTTTACTTCCAGTTGTAATATTTCTTTATTAGTCTCATTCCGTGTCTAAGTGTAGTAACTTCCAGGTATTCTCTGAGGAATTTCCCTCTGTCTGTGTTATGGTAGCACCTAGAGGCCTTGACCCTATTGTGCTAAGTGCTGTACAAATACCTAGTGAGAAACAGACTCTTTTACATTCTAAATGAACAAGACAGGTGAAGGGAATATTATTACCGCCATTTTTTTTCAGAAGGAGAACGGAGGCACCAGGAGATCAAGTGATTTGGCCAACGTCACCCAGGAAGTCTGTAGCAGAGCTGGGAACAGAACCCAGATCTTATGACTTGTACTGTAGGGCTTTCATCACAAGTCCATCTCTCTGTTCAGCACTTTGTAACTGTGTGGCTTGGGTGGAGGGGAGAGAGGGAGACTCCTACCCAACCTGCAAACGCTGTAACCTATTCCGATGCTCCTGTATCTCTTGGATTCCCTGCTATTCCTTTCAGTGATTCTTGCTGTGTGAGGCTCAGACTGCTGTAGGACTGAAATCAATGGCAGTTAGGCTCCTAGTTACCTTTGAGGATCTGGGTTTGTGAGCTTACCGCAGCCCATGTTCCTACACTAATTCCTCTTGAGAGAGGCTAGGATTGGAGCAGCTGTGAGCTCACCACTACTATGCCCTTCGCTATAAGTGATTCCTTCTGGAAGAGGCTGGTACTGGAGTGATTATGAGCTCGCTACCGCCAGCACTTGTCTACACCATTCCCTACTCCTGCTGGGAGAAGTAGGGATTGCAATTGCAGTCTTACACCACTAAGTTATTTATGCATCAATCCCAGAGGATTATCCGGTTCAATTCAATTTTGAGCGAGAATACCCTCCTTGTCTCCAGAAACTTTCATCTGTATTAACACTCCTCTCTGCGCTCCTCTTCTCCCCCAGGCTCAGTACTATGGCGAGATTGGTATTGGGACACCACCGCAAAAGTTCACCGTGGTCTTTGACACTGGATCGTCCAACCTCTGGGTGCCCTCTGTCCATTGCAACCTCCTGGACATCGCCTGCTGTAAGTAGCTCTTGTGCTGTATAGCTGCCTGTCTTCATGACCTTTAGCAGTCTCCTGTTCCTTGCATATCCAGTACAGGCACCAAAGAGCCACCCTGCAAACCAGGGACGGAAGGTCAGACCACTCAAGGGAGAAACCCAGAAGGCAACCGGCATCCTCCAAACAAGTCTGTCCTGCAGACTTCTTGGCCCATGAGTGGGCCAGCTGGAGCAGTCAGGGAGAATAACCCAAGTGAAGCACTGAATGCTTTAGGGCTCTCTGTGTTCTCCTTTGCACGCCAGTCCCCAGAATGGCTTCCCCAGCTTAGGCAGCTGCAGCATGGCTAAGCTAGACACGGCACTGGGAATACACCGAAACGGTCCCTGTCTTTGGCACCTGCAACCACTAGGTCTTCAAAATAAGAATCCCCTTTCTCTTTCCCCTTAAGTTTGTCCAATCCCAGGGGTTTGGAGGTTGTAGACTTTTATATTTTGCACTTTTCAGGCTCACCAGAGCAAGCCCTTTTCTTGCCCTGTGGTGATAGTTTCACTGCATTATTGGAGCACGGTGCTGATATCTGGGCATTGGCGCCCTTGTTCCCTTTGACTGAAGGAGCAAGGGACAAGGAAAGTCTATGCTGACGGTTTTTCAATGGCCCACCTAAAATGGGGGAGTGGCGTTGGCGGTGGGGGGTGAGTGAAATAGAAACACCAATAATGTTCCAACTCTTACAGCCGTTTTCCTCTGTAGAGGTCAAACCCTTTACAAAGGAGATGTCAATATCGTTATCCCCATTTTACAGATGGGACACACAAGGCGAAGCAATGTGCCCAAGGTCACAAGCATAGCCAGGAATAGCACCTGTGTGTCCTGAGTCCCGGTCCCGTGAGCTATCAAGTTAATGGCCCTTCCTTCTCCCATCTCTCCTCCTGTTCTGTCTTTTTTCCCGCCCCCATCTCCCACACACACTCACATTACCCAATCAAGGTCATTCCGAAAATAATTAATGAGCCATTCCATGTGTCGCTCTGCTTCTCCCCAAATTATAGCTGTGTTGTCCTATTGCTCAATGCTGTCAAAAAAGCCTATCTTGCTAGATCTGATACCAACTGTCCTAGTTTCTAGTTTATTACTGCCCAGACTATGCATGCACATGTTTATGGATCTATAATTAATAATAACTATGTTTTTAAAAATGTTGTGGCTAGAACCAAAGGCTTACAAATTACAAGGTTTTCGCCCTGTGATGTTACAGTATAATAAATCTCCAAAGAAGAAGATGTCAAACCCAACTGTGGTAAAATGCCTTTTAAAAGCCACCAAATGTGCTACTTAAGCAGAATGTATATTTGTTGGCTCCACTTTCTCCAAACATGAAAGGTGACCTGCAAAGCCGGGGGGCCGGGGGAAGAAGGTGAATATTGGACTTGTGCCCTTTGTGATTCATAGTGGTTTGGCCGGTGGATGAATATTTTTATATAAAATATTTGTATAACATATATATAAAATATTTATTTTTTTTTTTAGTGGGTTTGTTTCCCATTTGTTTTTATATATTGGAGATTTGGGCCCTGTCTAGGCTGGAGACTCTCTGATTCAGGACTGGTCTGTCTTGGAGATTTTGTACAACTAGAGAGCTAGGGAAAGGTTGACAACCCAAGAGCCAGGAGTAAGATAGCTGCGCATTTGAGAGGGGAAGAGATTTTTAGCTGGTCTGTTCACAGCTCTGTGGTCCTGATTCTCAACTTGCACCTTGCATCGCTCATTTTACTCTAGTGCAAAGCAAATGTAAAATGCTCCCAAACTGGAATTGAGTTTGCACAGATGTGATTATGCACAAGGTGCCAGGCAGTGATGTATCAGGTTCCATCTTTTTGGCTTGTTTGTCTTTTGACCTATTTAATTCCAGGGATGAAAAAAACATTTGGGAGCAAGGATGTCATTGCTAATGACTTCTTGTCTCCAGCCTTATAATTAAAAACAATCAATGTCTGCTGAGACATCCATTTAGACCCTTGAGCAAAACTGGGGAAGAAATAAATAAAATTCCTGAACTTTCTAAGGTATAAAACAAATAGGCGTGGCGGATAAGGTGACCAGATGTCCCAATTTTACAGGGACAGTCCCAATATTTGGGGCTTTTTCTTGTAATAGGCCCCTATTACCCCCACCTCCTCCTACTCCCTGTCCTGACTTTTCACATCTGCTATCTGGTCACTCTAATGGGGGAAGACATCCTTCTTCCCTCTTCTTCCTCCCCCCCAATTTTTTTTTAAAATTTTTTTAAACTAAAACCTTCCAGGCCATATTTATAAAGAAGGGCAGAATCATAGAATCATAGAATCATAGAATATAAGGGTTGGAAGGGACCCCAGAAGGTCATCTAGTCCAACCCCCTGCTCAAAGCAGGACCAATTCCCAGTTAAATCATCCCAGCCAGGGCTTTGTCAAGCCTGACCTTAAAAACCTCTAAGGAAGGAGATTCTACCACCTCCCTAGGTAACGCATTCCAGTGTTTCACTACCCTCTTAGTGAAAAAGTTTTTCCTAATATCCAATCTAAACCTCCCCCACTGTAACTTGAGACCATTACTCCTCGTTCTGTCATCTCCTACCATTGAGAACAGTCTAGAGCCATCCTCTTTGGAACCCCCTTTCAGGTAGTTGAAAACAGCTATCAAATCCCCCCTCATTCTTCTCTTCTGCAGGCTAAACAATCCCAGCTCCCTCAGCCTCTCCTCATAACTCATATGTTCCAGACCCCTAATCATTTTTGTTGCCCTTCGCTGGACTCTCTCCAATTTATCCACATCCTTCTTGAAGTGTGGGGCCCAAAACTGGACACAGTACTCCAGATGAGGCCTCACCAATGTCGAATAGAGGGGAACGATCACGTCCCTCGATCTGCTCGCTATGCCCCTACTTATACATCCCAAAATGCCATTGGCCTTCTTGGCAACAAGGGCACACTGCTGACTCATATCCAGCTTCTCGTCCACTGTCACCCCTAGGTCCTTTTCCGCAGAACTGCTGCCTAGACATTCGGTCCCTAGTCTGTAGCTGTGCATTGGGTTCTTCCGTCCTAAGTGCAGGACCCTGCACTTATCCTTATTGAACCTCATCAGATTTCTTTTGGCCCAATCCTCCAATTTGTCTAGGTCCTTCTGTATCCTATCCCTCCCCTCCAGCGTATCTACCACTCCTCCCAGTTTAGTATCATCCGCAAATTTGCTGAGAGTGCAATCCACACCATCCTCCAGATCATTTATGAAGATATTGAACAAAACCGGCCCCAGGACCGACCCTTGGGGCACACCACTTGATACCGGCTGCCAACTAGACATGGAGCCATTGATCACTACCCGTTGAGCCCGACAATCTAGCCAGCTTTCTACCCACCTTGTAGTGCATTCATCCAGCCCATACTTCCTTAACTTGCTGACAAGAATACTGTGGGAGACCGTGTCAAAAGCTTTGCTAAAGTCAAGAAACAATACATCCACTGCTTTCCCTTCATCCACAGAACCAGTAATCTCATCATAGAAGGCGATTAGATTAGTCAGGCATGACCTTCCCTTGGTGAATCCATGCTGGCTGTTCCTGATCACTTTCCTCTCATGTAAGTGCTTCAGGATTGATTCTTTGAGGACCTGCTCCATGATTTTTCCAGGGACTGAAGTGAGGCTGACTGGCCTGTAGTTCCCAGGATCCTCCTTCTTCCCTTTTTTAAAGATTGGCACTACATTAGCCTTTTTCCAGTCATCCGGGACTTCCCCGGTTCGCCACGAGTTTTCAAAGATAATGGCCAATGGCTCTGCAATCACAGCCGCCAGTTCCTTCAGCACTCTCAGGTGCAACTCGTCCGGCCCCATGGACTTGTGCACGTCCAGCTTTTCTAAAAAGTCCCTAACCACCTCTATCTCCACAGAGGGCTGGCCATCTCTTCCCCATTTTGTGATGCCCAGCGTAGCAGTCTGGGAGCTGACCTTGTTAGTGAAAACAGAGGCAAAAAAAGCATTGAGTACATTAGCTTTTTCCACATCCTCTGTCACTAGTTTGCCTCCCTCATTCAGTAAGGGGCCCACACATTCCTTGGCTTTCTTCTTGTTGCCAACATACCTGAAGAAACCCTTCTTGTTACTCTTGACATCTCTGGCTAGCTGCAGCTCCAGGTGCGATTTGGCCCTCCTGATAACATTCCTACATGCCCTAGCAATATTTTTATACTCTTCCCTGGTCATATGTCCAACCTTCCACTTCTTGTAAGCTTCTTTTTTATGTTTAAGATCCGCTAAGATTTCACCATTAAGCCAAGCTGGTCGCCTGCCATATTTACTATTCTTTCGACTCATCGGGATGGTTTGTCCCTGTAACCTCAACAGGGATTCCTTGAAATACAGCCAGCTCTCCTGGACTCCTTTCCCCTTCAAGTTAGTCCCCCAGGGGATCCTGGCCATCCGTTCCCTGAGGGAGTCGAAGTCTGCTTTCCTGAAGTCCAGGGTCCGTATCGTGCTGCTTACCTTTCTTCCCTGTGTCAGGATCCTGAACTCAACCAACTCATGGTCACTGCCCCCCAGATTCCCATCCACTTTTGCTTCCCCCACTAATTCTACCCGGTTTGTGAGCAGCAGGTCAACCTATATATAAATACAGCAGAAAACCTATATTTTAAAACAATCTTTTCCAGGTCACCTTTAAGAAAGAAACGCTATGTGATCTAAATGAGTGAATACAAAAATTAATGTTTTAATACCTGTATATACTTAAATTCACCCAAACTCTCCGGAGCACAAAGCATCTTCCTCTTGGGGCCGTTATGGTGACTTGAGCATCACTCTCTTGGTTTCTAATGTGCCCTGACATATCAGCCATGTGTAGTCTAGTCTCCAAATCCGGTAGCCAAATCCTATTCAACTGCTAAATTGGATCTCATCATTGAATTGCTCGCATGTTAGAAATGCTTTATAAGGCATTCTGGAATTGGCATATGTAAGAATGAGGGTTCTGCTTACCCTCTCCTTCAACATGCATTTAATTCTAAGAGCAGGGGAAGCAGCATGATCTGGAGCTATGAGGGTGGGATTAGGAGTCTGGTAGTCGTGAGTTTCTTGATCTATGTTCCACCACTGACTTTAGTGTGACCTTCACTTCTCTGCTTCTTCCCCTTCCCCCATTTGTAAAAGGAGGATCCTCTATCACATCTCTCAGGTGGGTTGTGACATTAATTTCTAGGAGTTCCTGACAGCTTTTTTTTTTTTTTTTTTTTGACCCACTCAGTTAATTAGCTAATGCCTGACCAGTGCTTCAGACAGGCAACGCACTGTGTAAATTGCTGAGCAGCATTCATATTTTGTGTACCTCCTGTGTTCCTATTCCTCGCTGCAGTGATCCATCACAAATACGACTCCTCCAAATCCAGTACATACCAGAAGAACGGCACAGCTTTCGCCATCCATTATGGAACCGGGAGCCTGTCTGGATACCTCAGCCAGGATGTTGTGGGGGTTAGTATTGACTGTACTTCACTTCTGCAACCCATGTAGGCCCTCGTTGAGCCAGGAATTCAGGCATGTGCCCTTGATTTCAATGGGACTTAGTAATACCTAGCACTGCTCATCAGATCTCAGAGCATTTTACACAGGTTGGTATTGTAGGGTGGGGAAACTGAGGCACAGAGAGGGGAATCAACTTGCCGATGGTCACCCAGCAGACCAATAGTAGTTAGGCATAGACCCCAGGTCTTCCAACTCCCAGTCCAGTTCTCTAGTCACTAGGAAAGACTGCATCCCACTATTCCTTAAAGGTAAGCACATGCTTAAGTGCTTTGCTGAGTCAGGGCCTTAGTTGGGGATCTCAGTCCACCTCCCCTAGGGACACATGTCCACATTGCAATTGGCAGATCTCATTGGCGAGGCTAAGCATTGAGTGAGTGTAGTTTAATCTCCATTCTACCACCACTAGGGGTACTTCCATCATATCAGACTTGAGGCAGTCCGGGGTAAGCTTGCTCTGCTATTGCCTGTATTGCATTAGTTTTGCTTCTGTGTAGAAACTTGGGGCCTACACTTTCAAGTGACCTGTGATTTTTTTGGGGGGAGGGACTGCATCTTTTTATTTTTTTCACCCCAGCACTCAACTTGAGACAACTTGAAGGGACCTGATTACCAGAAAGTGCGGAGCATCCACCCTCTGAAAATCAGGCTACTTCAGTGTGTCTCCAGTGAGGCACTCAGAAAATGAGATGCCCGAAATCACTCATCACTCTTGAAAACGTGGGCTCCGGGCTTTCCGAAGCACAGCTGTGACTTAGAGCTCAAGTCCTGTTGAAAGTCACTGGGACTTGGGCTTCCAAATTACGTAGGCCGAGGTCCTCAAAGGTGTTGAAATCCATGCAAATTAGGAGCCTATATACCTCTGAGGATCTGGGCCTTAGTTTTCAGTGCTGGCTTGAGAGCCCTAAACTTGCTTAGCAAAATAGATAGTCTATAAACCTATTTTAGGTAGGCCCAGAAATCCACTGGCATTTTCTGTGCCTGTCCCAGTTGAAAAGTGTTGGCTAACAAAGTCTGCTGGTATCAAAAGAAGGGGATCTCTCTCTCCTCCTCCTCCTCCCCCCCACCCCCCCACACTGAGCAGAAGAACAGCCTGAATTGAATTTCCCATCTGGCTTGGACTAGACTCTAGCTCCCCTCTGCCAGAGTCTTTTCTAGACTAGTGCAGAAATACTTGACTTACAGCCAGAACGTTCCCTTGTAGGTGTTATCCCCGTAAGCAACAGGAGACTCTGGGACTGATTCAGAATGAATCCTCAATGGGCAGAGTCTCACTGTGGTCAGATGACACCATGAGTGAGGTTTCCTCTTGCTAAGATTCACCGTCAGTATTGCCCGGACGAGTGAGAGGATTTGCCACCCCACAATAAGCAAGGATTGACCTTCAAAACCAGTAGATCTTTCCTCCCCCTATTCCCACCCCCAAGTACTGCACTGGTCTTGGGAGATCTGCAGTGCCCAATGCTATCCCTGTCCCTCCATTCTAGCTCTCTGTCCCTGCTCCCATGCCTAGATCCCTGGCATCACAACGTTCACCTCTAAGAGTTGTTCTAGACCCTAGTCATTCCATTTCAACCTTGCAGCTTCTAGGATTCACTAAAACCCCTTCCAAGGATTTTGTGGCTGTTGCCCAGTGAAGTCATTTTGCATTTAGCAATAAATGTTCCACTTCTGTTAGGTTTAAAAAAAAAAAAAAGTCTAGCACCAATAGAGATGTCTGCTTTTGCCCTGTGCAGTCGGCTGCTGTTCGTGGGATTGGAGGATTGCAGGGAGAGAGCAGCGGGGGGAGCTGGGTGCAGGTGACGGGAGAGATGAAGAGGCAATTTGAAAGGAGCTGCTCCAATGATGGAGTGGGGCGGTGATCCAAAGCAGCTGGCTTTATGGGATTGTGTTGGTAGGTTTCAGTGCTCTCCAGTTTAATGGAGGGAGTGAAATGAGTCAGAAGGAAAATTGCAGCTTTTTTAAATTATCATTGGAATGCCTTCTTTTTAATTAGTTTGTTCCTGAGCCTGCCTGGGGGGGGGGGGGAGCTCTCTGCAGCCATTGCAACTTGCAATGTTCAGCTTCCCTGTGTGCTTAAGTGATCGAAGTCTGTCCTGTGATGAGCCGAGTTTACAATCCAAGGGAGCAGTGCAGTGGGTTCCTGGCACTCTCAGAGGTGGGGCGCTAAATGCTGGAAACCTAAGTGGCTTCCCGTGCTGGGCCTGTTCCTGCTTTCATTGCACAGCCCAAATTCCCACTGATGTCCGAGAGAGGCTTGGGATGCACAAGAGATGTGAAATGGGGGCCATTGTCAATGTCTGAGGCCAGACCTAAAATGCAGCCGTCAAGCTGGGCCAGATCCTCAGCTGGTTGATATCAGCAAAGCTCCATCAAAGTCACTATTTGCCAGCTGTTGGTCTGCCTTGGCGGGTGTTTGGCAAGGACAGCTGACTAGCTGAGAGGGAATGGAGGACTGTGACTTTCCCTTCTCTGCTTTCCCCTTAAACCCCTGCCCCTAAACAGTAATTCTGGGCATCCTGAACCTTTATTGAACATCCTAGGGAAACACACCCCATGAGAGGTAATAGAAACACAGAAATGTAGGGCTGGAAGGGACTTCAAGAGGTCCTCTAGTCCATCCCCACACAGTGAGGGAGGACCAACCAAGACCATCCTTGACAGGTGTTTGTCCAATCTGGTCTTAAAAACCTCCAGTGAGGAGGATTCCACAACCTTCTTTGGAAGCCTATTCCCATGATTCACTAGCCTTGTAGAAAACCTTCTGACTTCCTGATGGAGGTGGGAATCGTACTCCAAGTAACAAACGATGAATGCAGTTGTAGCAGGGGAACCCCTGCCTCCCAGAGTGCTAGTGATCCCAAGTTCTGCCAAGGGGATTCTAGCTTCACAGGAAGCTTAGGGGGTGCTTTACAAGAACAGGACAGAAAACACAGACAACTGAGTGCTAGGCCGATGGCCCTGCATAGTGAAGTCCTCATTTAGCCACACAGCAGGAAGGGCGAGTTCAAGGCAAGATTCCTGGCTGGGGTAAATTGACCCCACTCCACTGAAGTCATTGAATCTACCCTGCCCTACACCTGCTGAGGATTTGGCCTTCAGCCTTCATGCCCCTTTCAGTTTTTGGTCTTTCTGCTGAGGCTGCTAACTATGGTGCCAATTGCAGGATGTGATGCGGGAGACCTCTCTGCAAGGAACTGGAGCGAGGCCACCAACCAAGCATCCACTAGTAATGATTTTTGATCGTTATGTACCTGGATGGGAGCCAAACAAGTGACTTAAAGAGGGAAAGTTCTGTAACCCAATGCCTTTGCTCTGCTAAAGATGCTCTTAGGCTTCAAGCCTGAAAGTGCGTGCATGCCTGGCTACCTTGGTGCATGTCAAAATGTTAGCAGTTTTTGGTCAGCTTCCCAGCTGGCGTAAATCAGCATTGCTCCAGCTGGGGATCGGGCCTGTCAAATATTTCATTGCTCTTGTTTAAGCACTGAAGTAATTCTGTGGTGGTGCATTTATAACTTCTGAAAACACCTCCCTCTTCTCAGTGCATTACCGGACATGTCACTCGGGTCTTTTCTGTCCCACATCCTGCTCTGTGGGTTTTCTCTCTTGTGACGCAAATGACACTTTGAAACAAAGTGTCCTTTGTGCAGTTAAAATAAGAACTCTCTGCACACAAAGCAGGCCTGTGCACACACCCTTACACACTGACACAGAGCGAGGCACTATCTAACCCTAGGGGGATTTTAGTCATTCACAAGGGATCGTTTTCTGATGTCAGGTCAGAGAGGCTGAGCTTTTCCTTTTCAGTACAGTTCATCTCACTGTAATGCCGTCAATAGGAGTTTCAGACCCAACCAGCAGGGACTGAGGAAAGATGGTTAGGACTCTGAAAGCATCCTGGTCCAATTGGTAAAATTGCCTGTGATCATTTTAAGCCATGAGATCTCGTGAACAGCTAGAGATAGAAACCAAAGGCCAGATCCCCATCTGGTATAAATCATCATAGCTCCGTTGACTTCACTGGGGCCAAACTGATCTCCTAGTGCTTTACACCATGTCAATCCTTCTAGCCATGAGTCTGGCAAGATCGCTGACCTTAAATTCACATCGGTGTGATTACCACTTTGCCCCTCCTACCACCCCAACACAGCCCTTCAGTGCCCACCTCAATTTCATGACCTGCTTTCCTGAGAAATGTGGGAGCCAGCATCTGTGGTGTCTGCTCTCTGAATGTTTGGGGTCTCCTAATTCAAAGGGCATAAGTAGGGCCGTAAACGTAGATGGGGAAACTTTCCCTAAACTGAGGGACATGCCATCCAAATCCCACTAGACAGACAAACATGTGGTTCAGAGCAACAGTTCATGAGGGGAGGCTGCAGATTCTAGCTAGGAAAATAAGGTAGGTTGGGTTTTGAAGGAGGAAAGAGAGCGGTGGGGGAGGGGAGGTTGTTTCAGGAGTAGGGGGCAGCATGGTGGCCGCTGAGAGCGGAAGGAATGGAAAGGTGAGGAGGCACGTTGGGAATGCAAGGGGAAGTTGTAGCTGGGGACAGGATTCTGTAGGGCCTCAAGGATAAGGAACAGGAACTCGAATACAAGGCAGTAAGTGACCAGAAACCAGTGGAGGGACTGAAAGAGCAGAAGTGATGTGGTCAGAATGGGAGTTCCCATTAGCAGTGGTTGCTTCAGACATGCCTTTGATGGGGGAGAGCAGTGAGGCAGTCAAGCCAGACAGGAGACGGTTGTCGCGGGGGTGGGTTGCAGGGGATGACCTCAATAAGGGGATAGCAAGGAAAGGGCAGGTAGAAGCTACAGGACTCAGCAACTGGCCAGATGTGTGTGGGGACAGGAAGGATAACGGCACTGCCAGTGGTTGGGGGGGACCTGAGAGCCAGTCTGAACTGGAGTCGGACACGCTAGTGCAGAGCTTAGGGAGGAGGGCAGTAGGGGTGGTGGTCGCTGTGGTAGGTGAGGGAATGGGTGGGAGAGGTACTCCCTCTCTTTAGGGGATGCCAAAGCGGGGACAGAATACAGAATCGTGTGGGGCAGAGAGGAGGCCAAGAAGTTACTAAAAAACCACTCTGAGGACATGAGGAGAATCGGGAAAGCGCAGGCCCAGGGAAGCCATGAGGTGAAAGCCCAGGAGAGAATGGGATTTATTATTGTTACTTACAATAATAGTAAGCACCTAGCAGCCCCAGTCCTGGACCAGAACCCCCTTGTGCTGGGCACTGTACAAACACTGAACAAAAAGACACTCCCTGCCCCAAGGAGCTAAGCTATCGGTGACCTGCAATTGGGCTGTTTCAGTTCAGTGGAGGGGGCACAGTTCGAGCCGAGGGGCTCAAGGAGGGCGAGCCAAGAGAAATAAGAGAGCAGCTAGAGGAGTAAGTCTGATCCAGGGAAGGGAGCATAAGCATTTCCTGTCATGCCATTCACAGGGAGCTAAGAGGGTCCAATGTCGGTCTGCCTGCAGTAGATGTGAGTTGTATCTCCAGTGGCCTGTACTTGTAGCATAGCGTTCTGACCTGAGATCCACCCATGATTTCTCTGTGAGGCACGCATTAAGGGGCAGGATCTCTCTAGCCAATGCTAGACCAGAGAACAGCTCTCGCACGTTGACTCCATCCTGTTTCTAGGAAAGTGCTTTCTCCCACCCAGGTACTCTGAGACTGTGTGTCTCTTTTTAACCATCTTGGTTTTTGGTGGACTTCCCCCCACCCCTGCAGATTGGTGACTTAGTTGTCAAGGACCAGATCTTTGGTGAAGCAACCAAGCAGCCTGGCATAACCTTCATCGCTGCCAAGTTCGACGGCATTCTGGGTATGGCCTTCCCGAAGATCTCTGTGGACAAAGTCACACCCTTCTTCGATAACGTCATTCAGCAGAAGCTGGTGGAGAAGAACATCTTTTCCTTCTACCTCAACAGGTGACGCTGTGGGGGGCACGGAGCTCATTCTTGAGACATCTGGTCTGGCTGTCTCCAACCTGTGGGCCACCTCCTGTCCTCCCACCCTCATTCCAAGGGCCAGATCCTCAGCTGATTGGGGTGCAGCTGTATTGAAATTGGCATCCCTTTACACCAGAGGAGGGCCTGGCCCCAGAATCCTATTCCTGCAATAGGGTCCCTTACTCCTGCAGGGAGAGTGAGCATTCATCTCTCGCTGTAGCTACTTCCCACAGGTTGCTTGGCATCGGGCAACTGATTGAGGCGCTCCGGACATAGCTGCTTTGTTGTTTTAAAAAAAAAACAAAAAAACACAAAAAAAACCTGATTCTTTCAGTTCTCTGGAGCTCCGCTGATTTACATCATCTGCAAAGCTTTCCCTTTCCTGAATGCCTACAGCGTGTTTGTCACCGGGCAAAGTCCGCGTACGTCCTGCCCCGAGGCTCTGGCACTCGAATGGCCTGATCCTTTGAGGAGATGAGTGTCCCCAAAAAGACTTGAGGATGCTTAGCAGCTCCCTTTGTCCAGCCCTAAGTTTCTTCCCCGTCTGGCCCCTTAGGCAGTCACTTCCACCTGTGCAAAGTGGGTGTGTTAATGCCATCTGATCAAAATGGCAAGTATCGGGGGGTAGCTGTGTTAGTCTGTATCCATGAAAACAACAAGGAGTCCGGTGGCACCTTAAAGACTTGAACAGATTTATTTGAACATAAGCTTTCGTGGGTAAAAACCTCACTTCTTCAAATGCCACCGGACTCCTTGTTGTTTCTGATCAAAATGGTAGCCTTTCACATCCACTTTGCACAGGTGCCGTAAACAGTGTCATAGCCAAATAGGGCTGGAAGGGACCTCCAGAGATCATCTAGTCCACCCCCCTGCACTGAGGCAGGACCAAGTATACCCGGATGCCTACCCAGGGGGTAGAGGAATGGGGTCTCAGTGCAGAACTCTACCCGCTCTGTATATGTTGGCAGAAAGTCGAACTCTGGACTGGGAAGGAGTCGTGGATTCCTTCTGAGTTGGTTCACATTAGCCCTATGCATGTAGTGATGGGAATCACTGGTGGGCCTTGCTGAAGGAGTTGAGGCCTGATTCTCCTCTCCCTTGCACCAGTGACAGTTGGAAGTACCTCCACAGAGCTACATTGGTATGAAACCAGTGTGAGGGAGGGGAGATTCAGGGGCTTTGTTCCTAAGAGGAGGGGTTGAATGTGGTGCTGTGGTGGACCAGGAGAGGCTGTGAGTTTCAAGGGGAGTGGGAGAAGACCATATGGAGGAAGGACTGGGATCATGGCAGCAGGAGGCCCTGACACCATGGCGTTGGCTGGTTTTGTCATACCCATCACCACCCCTCCAGACTTGAGCGTGGTTTTCCATTTACCTGGGAGAGACCAGACTCCTTGGGCTGAAAACTCTCTTTATTGGGAGGCGGTTTCTGGTTCAGTTAAGGCTAAAAATCCCCCATAGCAATGCTTCCTCACACCTATTCAGCTGCAATCTGTGTGTTGAAATAACCTGGAGAATTTGGTTCTCTGGGCCAAGAGTCAGGCAATAACAACGGATCATTTGATCAGCTGCATCCCTGCCCACATAAACACATGTTGTTGGCTGGATGCAGGGTATTGTACTAGTGCATGGGGTGACAGAGCTTATTCTGCCCCTGCCCTAGCCTCAAGTGCAAGGGAGATAAAGAAATTGTCTGTCTGTCTCTTTAGTCCTGGAGCTAGTGGTAAAAAAAGTTGGCCAGTCTAGGCTGTCGGTGAGCAATGATCCTTCTTCCATTGCTCTTTCCTTGCATACAGTGAATTTCTCCAGGTCTCAACACAACATCCATAGCTGTTACAGGATGGCTCCACCCTCAGCTAGCCTAAGACATGCTAGAGTCCCCTTATATCCCCTCTCTCCTCACAGCCTAAGCCACAATGTTGGTGGTTTAATATTTTTATACCTTTCATATGTGGGTGCCCTGTGCGCTCGCGCTCTCTTCTTCCCACCCCCTGGCATGAGTGCACAGAGATCCCTTATAGAATAAGCGTGCTTAGAGAAGCAGTGTCTTCCTCCCCCCCCCCCCCCCGCTTTACTTGAATTGATTTTCTGTCTCTTCTCTTTCAGGGACCCATCAGCTCAGCCTGGAGGGGAGCTGCTGCTGGGGGGGACTGATCCCAAGTATTATAGCGGAGACTTCAACTGGGTGAATGTCACACGCAAGGCATACTGGCAGGTCCACATGGATCAGTGAGTTCCACCTCCTTTTCCGCGTTCTCTCTCTCTCTGTCACTCACACACACGTCTGGACTGTACCCTTCAAAATCCCATAGCACACCTAGCCAATTAGTCCCTGGGAAGTAGAGAGAGGCGGAAGACAATGGGATAAATTCTGCCCTTGAATACATGGGTGTAAATCCCATTGTTTTCTATCAGGCCTGCTCTGTGCTGGGCACAAGCCACCAGTGCAAACACTTATAAGCTGCAGCTTATGCCAACTTCAAGCAGGAGTAAACCCACCAAATCACGGCTTTTGGCATCTTTACCTGTCTCCCCCGGGGCCTCGCTACACCGATTGCTATCGTTCCCAGAGGGGACGAAGCCCCAGAGTTGCTTGAACGTAAGGGCTGAATGGGGCTCCAAGAATTCAGCACTTGATGGAAGGGGCCCTCTTCTTACAGGCATGCAGTAGTAATCACTCTGCATTGCTCAGGGAAGTGAGAGAGAGACTGAGCCTGGTTGCGTGGTCCAAGCAAAGGGCTGTTAGCCAGGAAGCCCTGACTTCTATTCCAAGCTCTAGACCAGGTCTACACTACAAAGTTTTGTTCGCGTAGCTTTGTCAGTCAGGGGTGTGGAAAGAGCCACAGCTGACACAGCTCTGACTGTAAACCCCCTCCCAGTGTAGCTGCAGTGATAGTGACCGAAGATGCCCTCTTCCAGCATAGCTAATGTCATTAGGGGAAGTGCTGTCACTATGCCAACAGAAAAGCTCCTGTGGGCATATGCTGTGTCTACACTAAGGGCCTCTGCTGGTATAGCTTCACCGGCAAAGCTTTTGTAGTGTAGATAGGATCTAAGGATCTCCAAGTGCCTCCCACCCTTCGCTGGCACCTGGGTTAAGTATCATTATCCCCAAGTTATTTCATGTTTGCAAAGTGCATTGAGACCCTTGACAGGAAGGTTTTATAACAGTGCAGAGTATTGTGATACTTAACATCTGCAAAGGCCAAACCAGTCCCCACCTCACCGGCCTAATACACTTCCTTTAAAGTAAGAAATGTTACACAACCCTTTTAACCCTTTGCCGTCCACTGTGGTACATACTGCTGCATAAAGCACCGTGGAAACAGATTCAGATTTCTGCAGGGGAAGTGCCAGAATACATACAGGCTTATGTGTCATCATCCTGGTTAACTCACCCTGGTAACAGGTTTAGCATGTCAGCGAGCTGTGGGACACCAGGCAGAAATTAAAGATGTCTGGACAAATGCAGCTTTGGCCGTACTCCAGCAAAGTACGTATCACTTCAATCACATGAGTGCTCTCGTTGAAGTTGATGGGACTATTCACTTAAAGTGAGGTATTTGCTCAAGTGTTTTGCTGGATTAAGGCCTAGGTTTTTCCATACTTCATCATATTCTGGGAGTTTTAACTCTTAATTCCCCTACACAAGTTTGCCAGTATTTTTATACTGTTCTATCAAGGGTTTTTTCCCCCTGTTTAACTGATTCATTTTTGCAACCTGGGCTCCAACTTACAAAGGGCTTTTGTTATCTGGGAATCTTCTTCTTCACACAGACTGGATGTTGCCAACAGCCTGACCCTGTGCAAAGGGGGCTGTGAAGCCATTGTGGACACTGGAACCTCGCTCATTACAGGGCCAACGAAGGAGGTGAAGGCGCTGCAGGCAGCCATCGGGGCTAAGCCACTCATCAAAGGACAGGTAAACCCTGGCAGAGAAACTGGGTGGTGCATTGGAAACTTGGGGAGGGCAGAGTATTCCAAAATACTGGTGCCCCCACTCCTTGGAATCTCTACACTGGCTTCCCCTCTTCAGACAGGTTAACATCAAGCTTCTCCTTACTTTGTAGATCTCTTATTTCTGTCCTTCCCTGCATCTCTACCTGTCTTTCCTCCTACAGCCCCTTCCCACTCTCTGTGCTCTGCTGAAGCCCCTCTTGGGGGGGATTCCTTTTCTCCTTTTTCTACACCTAGTAGAGAATCAAGTCCCCAGTATAGGATTCTGTAGGGTGGTTAATAAAGGTCTAGGAAGGATCTCCTTCTCTACTAAGTTCTGTAGGGTTTTAGAACAATGTGTATAGAGCATTATTAACTTATTATCAGCCTTATTAACTTCTGCAGGGATAAGGGTGCCTGTAATGTAGTGACATTCGTTCTGGACCTGGCTCTCTCCAGGCCCCATCAACAGCACTCAGAGAATTTATGTATAATTAGATGGATTGCACCTATCCATAGTCTCTAGGGGTTTTTGTTTAACACCATCTATTCCTATTGCAGTAGCAGCTAGAAGGGCCTAACCCTACTATGCTAGATGCTGTACAAATGCCTAATGAAGAGACACCCCCTGCCCCAAAGCATTTACAATCCAAGTAATAGGACATGCCAAAAAGGGGTTGAAAGCGTCTCCCTCCAAGGGCTTCCTCAGTGCTAGAACAGAACCACCCCCCAGCTGTCCCAGGCAGGATGTAAGAATATGGTGTTACAAGCCCTTGAAAAATCTCCCTAGACATACAATGAAACAAATACTCGTCCATTACATACCCCAGCATAGCTCCTAACAAGCCCCATTGACAAAACTGGGTCTGTGGAGAGCAACTTGGGGCCTGGCTGGCCAAGGGATTGAGGTACTTGAACCCCTGTATTTGTGCCCCTGCTCCTGCTTTGCTCATCCAGTGTTTTGTGCTTTATAGTTCAGCAGCTCCTAGGGGCCCCATTGTTCATAGGCGCCATGTGTGCACTTAGTCAAGTGAGGAGCTCTGAGGGTGGGGTTTTCAAAGGAGCCCAACTGCATTCTAGTCCCATTTCCCATTGAATTGGCATAAGAGCCACCGCAGACAAAGGGTGGGAGGAGAGCCAGGCAGAGTCATGGAGTGACTTGCCACAAGTCTCACCGCGGATCCGTGGCAGAGCTGGGAGTGGAACCAAGGTCTTCTGACTCTCACTCCAGTGTGCTACCCCCAGGACCACACCGCCTCTTGATCTAGTCTTCCCACTGGCTGTCTGAAACTCTGCACGCTGAACTGCGCTGAGCCCTGCTGATCGTAAGGGGCCCATGCCTCAGCAAGGAACCCATTCGGATTTGATTTAAGGCTGGAGGGTGCTAATTACCATAGGCTGCCTCCTTTCCTTTTTTTTTTTTTTTTTTTCCCCTTAACCCGCGGAAGGCTGTTGTCTGAGCACAGAAGGAGAGGCCTGACCATCTCCCCTAGTGACCCCCCTTTTCCTTAAGCCTGCCAGCCAGCTGCCTTTCTGTGCCCATGGGGTCTTATGCTTCAGTGTACTGCTGCTGTTTCCTTTTCAGTACGTGATCCCCTGCGATAAAGTGCCGTCCCTTCCCGTCGTCACTCTCATGCTAGGAGGAAAGCCCTATGGGCTCACAGGAGAACAGTACACCTTCAAGGTGAGTCCAGAGCAGCTTCTACCCAGCTCCCTTTCCTACGCTAGCTGTTCTTACCTAGATGTAGGAGGCCAGGCTTTCGTGGTGAAATCCTGGCCCCTCTGAAGTCAGTGGTAGTCTTATCAATTCAGTGGAGCAGGGGTTTCACCCCAGTGACCACGTGAGTCCTGCCAGGATAGTGCCTGTTCACTGCTGCAAGGTTAGCGGTTTGCCAGTCCTATCTCTGAGTCCGCATCATAACCTGCTCTCTTGAAGAGAGCAGGCAAGACTCCAAAGCATGATCCGTGGAGCAGGATCAGCCCAGAGCTTCAGTCACAGAGTCTGACACTCACCTTGCTCACTCTGGTCTAAATCAGGAGTAACTCTACAGAGAGTGAGACCACTGTGTGTGTGGTCAGAATTGGTTCCATGCACTATGGTTCCAGCTGAGACCCCTGCATGCCAGACTTGAGGAGAAGCATGAGTCTGAAGAATCAGGATGTTGTCATGCTGCTAGGTCTGTAGAGAGCAATGGAGACCTCCACTGGTTTGTTGCAGTAGTAGGACACGACTGAGTAAAGCCATCAGCCCCTGCAGTGGGTGAAACTAGGGAGGCAGAGTGAGCAATAATGGACAGGACGTCATGTGACTCCTACTATTGTAGTCCATCTGCCACTAGGTTTGGAGAGCTCAGGGCCAGTCCTTGTCGTGATAGATCATGATGATGATCACGGTTAATACCTCACCCCACGTAGAGTCAGTTCCACCAATCAGTGCCCTAGAGAAGAGCTTGTGGGAGGGCAGGGGAAGGGATGAAAGACTCGTCCTTCTACTGACCTTCTCACTCTTTCCTGTAGATTTCTGTACAGGGAGAGACCATCTGCCTGAGTGGATTTTCAGCCCTGGACGTCCCACCTCCCGGGGGCCCGCTGTGGATCCTGGGAGATGTATTCATTGGCCCCTACTACACAGTGTTTGACCGTGATAATGACTCTGTTGGCTTTGCCAAATGTGTCTGAGTACCTGCCCCACCACCCCTGCCACACGCATGCACTGTAGAGAGTGAGTACCAGGATTAGGAAGCAAATGAGGAAATAAAAGAAATGGAAATAGATTTAAAATTAAAAAGGAAACAATATTCGTGCCCTTTTAATGACCCTTTGCCGTCTCTTGAATAAGTGATAATCAGAGCTGTAGCGGATCACTCAATCTAGAGCAGCCCCTGCCTTGTTAGATCTTCCAGCTCCATTTTAAATATTCGCTGTTGAAGCTGCACAATGCCCACTCATGACTCCAAGCACCGATCTCGCAAATAGGAGAGCCAGCTTATGAGATCCATGCGATGATTCCACTCCTCCTGCAGAGAACCCACATTGGTAACAGTCTCTGGATTCCATGTACATGCAGAAAACTTTCTCCTTATTCCTCTTCTCTAACCAATGACAGGGTGCGGGAGCTAAGTTCATCTTACGGCTGCTCCGAGTCACATGAGGAAGAAAAGCAATAGTCTGGTGGCTCTCAATGAGCTTGTGCTGCTTTAATGTGCTTTCTTGTGGAGCTGAGGAGGGTGGTCAAGTGATGGCTGCATGAGCCATCCCTTAAAACGCACAAGGGACAGTTTAGGATCAAAATACATTAGCCGAGTTTCTTGTGCGGCAGCACAATGGGAGCACTTGGCGTGGTGTGACCATCCCTGTTGAAGTGTCTCACCTGGCAGGGATGACAACAGGGGCTCCAGCCGGTAGAATCCTCAGGGAGCGGGAAGGGGACCATGGTAGGATTTGATAATGGTCTTTGAGTTCATGTCTGCAACGGCCTATCTTTATGCTTAAGGCTGAGCAAACCAGATCAGATAAATAAGAGATGACCCAAACTTTTCTTAGGTTTGAAATAGTTTGGTTGGTTGGGGTTTTTTCTTAAAGTCCTACGGTTTGGGAAAATTTGTCCAGAGCTATTGATCTGGGAGGTAACATTTTTTTGAAAGCGTTTAAGTTACCTAGAAGCCTTAGGTCCTACTGACAGTCAATGGGGCTTAGGTGCTTTCAAGTCACTTAGATACTTTTTTCAGAGTAGCTTTTGAATGCTTTTTCTTTAGATGCTTTTGAAAATTTTACTCATGGCATTTTTGATCTGATCAAACCAGCCTATTAGCAGTCAGACGAGAGACTTGCAAGACTTCCAGATCAAAGAGGTTTGGGGAAGCATCTCAAGTTCCAGGTGTTTCTCTTTACCAAGCCTCTGAACCTCTGGAAGCCAATTCATTTCTACTCTACGCTCCCTATTCTGAACCCTGGCTTACTTTTCTTGTTAAAAACCACGTAAACGTACACTGTGCTATACAAATATAGAGTGAGGCACATTGCCCGCTCTAGAGAGCTTACAGTCATGCGCACAGACCCACACTCATCCAGTTAAGAGCCATCAGCTATGTATACAAAACTGTTCACCCAGTTGGGCCCTTAGACAAGACAAACATGGAGCAGTAGTCCAGGGGAGGGACTGCAAGGAGCAAGTGGTGGATGGAAGGAGGACAAAGTGGATTTTAAGTAGGGTTTTGAGTAAGTGGGAGAGAGTGAGCTTGGTAGAGTTATTCAAGGCTTTGATCCAAAGCCCACTGAAGTGAACAGGGAGACTCTCATTGACTTCAGTGGGTGTATAATGCAGCATGAGCACAATACAGAGGGTGAAAAAGAAAAGCAAAGACCCAGATCGTGCCCTGGTGTGAGCCAGTGTAACACCAATGTTAGCAGTAAGGTGAGAGGATTGGGAGTAATGTAGGGAGTGAAATCCTGACCCCCCTGAAGTCAATGGGAGTTTGGCCCCTGACTTTAATGGAGCCAGGATTTCCCCCAGGGAGCAGCAGGCAGTGAGAGCAGTAATGTGCCTGGGGGCATATAGGAAGCTAGTCACACTAGGGAACATACACTTTTCCCCAGGACCAAGCCAACATTGAGCCTGCCAGCTGGGGAGAGAAAAGGGCTGCCACTTAATGAGGATGTTCAGAGAGAATGGGGTGGAGATGATCTAAAATGATTCCCATCACATAAGCCTGCTGAGCGCCACCCTTTTCCAGTCCATTGCACTCCCTGTGATGAGTTTGCTAACGTTGACTCAGGCTTTAATAACAACCTCTGCTGCTCAGACTGGGAGGGGTTTCGTTGGTGCATAGTTAATGCTCACAATCATTACTGTTACTCAGACACCTGGAAGGGGCTGCCTGAGGCAGCTGTGACTGGTGTGAATGAAGTAACGCTGATACATGTGTCAGTCTGCACAGCCCCAGGAGTAATAAATACGCTGTTCCCACCATGGCCTGTCGTCTGTGCATGCTCTTCGGCTGCAGCCTCGGATTAGAAGCTGAAGGCATCTGTTACAGCCTAAAGACCTAGCTAGGGAACAACAGTGTGTTCCCCAAAACCATCAAACACAAATCCTCAGCTGCCCTCCAGAGAGTCCCATTCGCAAATTGATCAAGTGCCCAGAGCTGTTTAAAGTTTGAAGTTAAATCCTTTCTCAGCTGAAGAATTTATCCCACACAGTGACTTAAACATAGAACTTTTTTTAGATGTCCGTTAATTAGATTTGGTGGAAGGTAAAATCTCTAGCAGGGAATTGACTGCAAGGTTAGATTTTATTAAGGATCTATTTTTAACCCCTTCCAAAGCAGGCAGAGTGCATTATATGAAGGAGCCATTGTACATTAGTTGCTGTTAAACATATAATGCCCTAGGACATTTATACCTGAGGGAAGAATTTGGTCCATAGTGATGCCCTAAAAGACACATCTTAAGACAGGCTGGGGGGAGTGGTTTATTTGATGTAACACATTTGCAATGCAAAGATTGTGGCGCTTCTGAAATCAGTCTCTTTCCCTTGTTGTTTTACTTGTGTTTTTCAACCGGAGCTTGAAATGCTTTTTGACTTTATTTTTGGGGCAATCTGACGTGCTGTCAGAATTCCTGTCTCTAGATTTATTATAGAAAATTGAAATGAAAACGTCTTTTCTCCCCTTTACCGTGTTGCTGTTTTCTTTCAAGTGGTTTGGAATTGCCAAGGTGTAGTGAACATTTCACTTAGGTCAACAAAAACCCACTCTCCTGTTGGTAATAGCTTTAGATAAGCTATTACCAACAGGAGAGTGGGTTGGGGGGCTGGAAGGAGAAAACCTGGATTTGTGCTGGAAATGGCCCACCTTGATTATCATACACATTGTAAGGCGAGTGATCACTTTAGATAAGCTGTTACCAGCAGGAGAGTGGGGTGGGGGGAGAGAAAACCTTTTGTAGTGATAAACACCCATTTTTTCATGGTCTGTGTGTATGAAAACATCTTCTGTATTTTCCACAGTATGCATCCGATGAAGTGAGCTGTAGCTCACGAAAGCTTATGCTCAGATAAATTGGTTAGTCTCTAAGGTGCCCCAAATACTCCTTTTCTTTTTGCGAGTACGTTGTGTATGTTCAAAATATGTTCAGGTGGGCTTCTCTGGCTAGGCTCCCCATGCTGGGGATTGAATGTCCCACTGGGGTCTTCAGACGTGGCTGCCCTTTAAAGGTGCTCAGAGGCCCGCCTGGGCTTTGCTCTTCCCCTCTGACCTTCTAGTTCCACAGGTCAGAGTGGGAGTGAGGAGTGGGGCAGAGGAAACTGTGATAACTCCACTTGTGGCACTGCTATGAAATGTCAATCCGAGCAGATTGTGCAGAGCATCGCAATGGGCTCCTTACTCGCCTTCCTTACGTGAGTTCAAGCAGGAGTGAAATATTTAACACTGCTGACATTTGTATTATCTTCACTGGGAATCTGAGGTAACACGCCTTTGAGATGCAGGGGCCAGTGCACATCTCAGACCTGTTGGTTCAGGCTCTCTGCAAACAGAGGCAGACAGAATGGTGTCAGTTACAGAAGGTTTACCTCTCAGCCACTAGGGATAGAACCATACTGTCCTGAATTTTTAAATTATTAAAATGTTAGGTTGAGATTCTGTAGAACAATATGCTAACCTCCTAGCGCTGACCCAATACAACCTAGCCCAGGGGTGGCCGAACTACGGCCACAGGGCCTCATCGGGCCCTTCAGATGTTTTAATCCGGCCCTTGAGAGCTCCAGCTGGGGAGCGGGGTTGGGGGCTTGCCCCACTCTGCGCGTGCCGTGACTCCATGCAGCTCCCAGAAGCAGTGGCATATCCACCCTCCGGCTCCTACATGTAGGGGCAGCCAGGAGGCTCCACACGCTGCCTCTACAGCTCCCATTGGCCGGGAACCATGGCCAATGGGAGCTGTAGGGGCAGTGCCTGCAAATGGGGCAGCGTGTAGAGCCGCCTGGCCATGCTTCTGCGTAGGAGTCAAGGCGGGACGATATGCTGCTGCTTCTGGGAGCTGCTTGAGGTAAGCACCATCCAGAGCCTGCACCCCTGACCCACTCCCGCTCTCTGAACCCCTCGGTCCCAGCCCAGAGAACCCTCCTGTACCCCAAACCACTCCTCCCTAGCCCCATCCCAGAGTCAGCACCCTCACACACACACCCCAACCCCTGCCCCAGGCCAGAGCCCCCTCCTGCACCCTGAACACCTTGTTTCTGGCTCAACCCCAGAGCCCTCACCCCCTCCCACACCCCAACCCCCAAATTCATGAGCATTCATGGCCCGCCACACAATTTCCATACCCAGATGTGGCCCTCAAGCCAAAAAGTTTGCCCACCCCGACCTAGCCAAGTTGGAGCTCTGAAACCACCACAGTAGGCACCGTTCTGCTTGACATAATGCCTGCTTTAATTTACATCCACTCCCCCTGACCATTATAACACTAACACCTAGCTCTTAGCAGCAGTAGATCTCACAGTGCTTTGCAAAGGATGGCAGTGTGGTTGTGTCCATTTTACAGATTGGGAAACTGAGGTGCAGAGTGGCGATGAGTCTTGCCAAGGTCACTCACCAGGCGAGTAGTAGAGCTGGGAACAGAACTGCCATAATCCATTTCTTGAGCTTCTCGGTCACATAACGGTCAAGAGGAAGGGAATGCCCAGGCACCCCGACTGTGTGGTCCTCAGGAAGAGGGGGCAGTACAGCAAATATAACATAGGCAGTACACAATGAAGGAGCCACCTACCGTAAGATAATCCTCTCGTGACCAGCTGTACCAGCGTTAGGACCTAATTGTGTTGGAGATATGTCATAAAGCAGACCCACACAGACACACACACCCCCAATGGCCACAGATCAGAGCCCAAGTTTATAATCTTGGCTCTATCAATGAAGCACTGTGTGCCTATAGATAAGTCACACACCGACGTCTTTGTGCCTCAGTTGAACGATGTATGAAATGGGGATGACACTAAGGGATTCAGATCTAGGAAGAGCACTATTCATTTTTTCAGCTTTATAAAAAATCCAACGTATGATCTAAGCCTCTTGCCCATATTATTACTTTTTGTATTATGGTGGTGCCTAGACACCCCAACGAAAAATGAAGCGCCTCTGTGCTTGGTGCTGTACAAACAAAATAAGAGTCAATCTCTGCCCTGAAGAGTTTATTATCTAAACAGCCATGACAGACAAAGGGAAGTATTATCCCCATTTTACAGATAAGAAATTGAGGTACAAAGAGATTAAGTGACTTGGCGAAGGTCACACAGGAAGGCTGTGTGCCTTAACCACAAAATCAACTTTTTCCCTAAATTAGCATCTATAGTATGAAAGGAGTCCCCATAAATGCCTATCAAACACGCAATGCTCAGCCCAGGAAAAAAGATTTACTCAATTGCCAAATGTTTATTAATATAAATATGAGGGCAAGGTACCTGCCTCAAAGACCTTTTAAAGCCCTAAGCCTAAAAAGAGCTCCTCAGGTGAACTCATGCAGAACTGGGGCCAAAGCAGTTACATTTTGAAGGAAAGATGGAAGGAAGTGACGGAAGTGATGTTAACATGCCTTATTGGGTCCATGGTTTTGTTTTGATCTTTCTCCTACTGGTCACCCTCTACTTAGTTAACATTAAGGGGAGAGGTAGGATTGCTAGGCCTTGCTGAAGAAAATAACTCACCTAAAAAGGGACTGTCTGGCGCGTACTTTAAGAATAGGCCCAAAATATAGATTGAAAAAAAGAAAGTGGAAACAAAACCTAACGTGACTAGAAATGGTTTCCTGATCTTTTTAGCCTTTGATGAGAGCTAAATTACAAAACTAGCTATAAGCAAGGTTAGAACCGATCCGTTGGGGATTAGTACAGGCACCAGAGCCTGCTTGCATGGATCTAGCTGCAGAATCTGGGCCTAAACTCATTTCAGAGTCTACATGGCGAGAAATGGAAAAAATTAAACACACAGTAAAGGAAATGGGGAATTAAATTTATTTTATTTTTATGGGGGTTGGTTGGTTGGTTCTTGTTTTGGTTGGGTGGTTGGTTTTAATTATTTCTGGTGTAATTAGTGACAAAGGGAATGATGTTTGACTTTTGAAATGGGATTGTCAAGCTGGTGGAGCCCTTTGCTACAAAAGAGATTGTAAACGCTTTGAGGTAGGGACTGTCTGTTTGTACGGCGCTGAGCTCAATGCGGTCGTGGTCCTGGTCCTGGGACTCCAATTAGTCCCACAACACAAATAAATAACAATAATTGATAAAAAGGATGAGCCAGTGAAAAACAACCTAGCCAAGCAGCACAGCTCCTCCTTTTCCCTTTTTTCTGCCCGGCTCATCTTTACCCCTAGATGCCAGAGTGTATATGAGCTAACAGGCTCCATTTGGTGGGCACTGGGTTTTTGCAGCTGTCCTCTGATCAGGCTGTTTATTCCAGGCAGCTAGGCCTGCAAACACAGGTTTTCCCCACAGCAATTTGCTCATCGTGCCACTAGGAGATGCTGTTTTCACTGCGGTAGCCTCCAGAGGCTGGCAGTAATTACTGCTCCCTGGCTGGTTGTACTGCTCTGAGTGCTTTCTCCATCCTCAGCAGCTAGTGGGATTTCAGCTTCCTTCAGGGAAGTGGGAAAGGGCAGAGAAGGAAGGGGAAGAGAAACTCAAGACAGGAAAGGACGAGGGGGGCACAGCTGGCTGAGGGAGAAGGGAAGGGGAGTCACAACAATGGCCTGATTTTCAAAGGTGCTCAGCTCCCACTGCCATCCCATTTTCAGCCCCTCTGAAAATCAGGCCATTAAAGTGACAGGATGGGGAGAGCAGAGGGGAGGGCTCACAAAGCTATAGGAGAGGAGAACAGGCCTGTCCTCGGATCACCTTGGAAGGGGCCAGAGGGCCGCTGCCTGTCTCACGCTTGCACGCCAGCCTGCCTTCCAGAGACATGAGGTAAGAAGGAGATGGGGCCCGTTGCGGGAGGAGATAGGAAAGTTGTGCAGCCTGGTGCCCCCCCAGCAGAGGTTTTTGGATGTTTCCTCACCCCACTGGGGTGCTCCCAGGTGTAATGTTGTGCCAGTGGCATGCTGAGCTCATGCTTTAAAACATGTGTGCAACTTGCATTGGGCCACAGCACCAAGGCAGCGGAGGTTAGTGCAGTTTTGGTCTTGTAGAGGAGCCAACCTTTAACAATCACTGCAGCCCATCACTGGGAGGCCCTGATCATTCCCATATTCATATCAAAACACCCTGAAATTCACCAGAATGCCCACACGATGTCTGATTCTCCAGTACTCTGCACCTCATTTACACCTGAGGCAAGGTTCTCTACCCTGCTGGCCAGGTGGCTCAGTGCCCACCACCACTCTCAACCTGTGTCCTGCACTGCAACATTATTTCATTAATTTCTGCAATGCAATTTTAACATTAACAACCTGCTTCATTTGCCCTTCCCCTGCCACCTCCCTCCACTTACTGCATTGTCTCTCCACAACTAAATTCATTTGACTTAGTTGATAACTTCATCTGTATTAAAATTTTCCACTTAACACAGAGAAGATAAACAGTACACAACATGTACAGAACAGCAAATATGATACTCTAGTTCCAAGAGTCCAATTCTCCTCTTGCTGACCCTGCTGCAAAGCAGTGAATTAGTAAATACTAAGCAACGAAGTCAATGCAATTACACCAGTGTAGAGCTCATGTAAATGAATGGAAGATCTGGCCCCATGGTCATGGAGGCAACACTCTCAGACACTCAGGCAGTATCTAGAAGACAATCTCTTACTTTTAGAAACTCTTTTTACTAAAAACAAATGATGAAGCACTTTTGTCTCGGGGTTAGTTGTTTTCTTTTTCCTCTGATTTTTTTATTTTATTTTATTTTTAGGTTCCTTTGGGAGGGGAAGAGAAGTGGAATGCAGCTTAAAAGCTAGAAGACAGGAGAAAGAAAGCATGGGGGAGGAGGCCTCACCCTTCCAAACGTCAAACAATATTATTGTTCAGCTTGCTTAGCATTCAATAGGGAGAATTTCAAAGAGTGGGGCTAGGAAAGGGGTGCCATAGGATTGCTGCTGTGTTTCCTCCCCTGAAAAGTTGAGCAGTTCAGTCCTACATAACTCTCTTGGGCAGAGTTATGAAGGACTGAACTGGTCAAGTTTTCAGGGGAGGAAACACAGCAGTGGCTTCAGTGGGCTTTGGCTCAGGCCTTGTTTGCAAGACACACAGCATCGTTGAAAAGCTGCCACCTCTGGCGTGGGCTGGAGACAGCCAGCTGGTGCTAGTGTACTATACAGCAGTGACTAGGATTTTTTTGGCCAGGAATCTAGAGCCAATGAGCAGACGTATGTGGTGCTGTGGTACCTAGGCAGAGCAGACAGGACCTTGTTTTTTAAAGTCTCATCTAAAAGAGCCACATGTATGTAGAAAACTCCATTGGACCCCATTCTTAGGTGCACGCTGGCAGCATAAAGGGACCTTACAGGGGATGGAAAGAGCCCTCTGAGAATACCCACTGTGCGGCGGGGGGGGCCTGGCATCAGAGTTTTGCTGCTGTCTCACTCCCAGCTCTCAGTGTGGAGGGCAGGGAAGGGGAATGGCCAAGGTGCACTACCCTCTCCGGCTATTCTCTGCTTCTCAAACACCATAGAAGGCCCTGGCAAGCAGAGGTGTAAGTCAAGCAACCCTGAGGCTGCTCTGACTTACACTGGTGGCCAGGTAGGCCCCAGAATAACCCTAGAGGACCGAGTGTGTGAATACAGCGTAAAGCCGCCTATGCTCCTTCTCCTCCAGCCCTGCCTTAAGCACAGGGAGAGGGTAATTGAGAATCAGGCCTATGGAGTCTTTAGGAGGCATGAGTCGATGCTGCTGGCAATTGAACCTGTGGTTCCAGAGAGCCTATAGAGTTTTATGCATCTTCTGGCACAATGGCAAATTAGGGACTCTTGTAAAATGTAAACGTTCAGTTCCATAGCAATAAGCAATAGATTGTTAAAGGAAACCTAACTCTCTGAGGGAAACACGCTGGCCTTTATATTAGTGAAAGGAGGAAATGAGAGCTGCAGCAGTGACAGAAGAGGAAATTGCAGCTCAGGGGCTACCATGACTCAGACTCTGCTCCCATAGTTTGTGATGGCATCCACACCTGCTTCGGAACGGAAATATGGCCTGATATTCCATGGCTGCTGTTCGCTGCTTTCTCCTTGTGTGGCTTTCCACATAAATCTCAGAGCATAGGTCAGCTGTCAACTTTACACAAAAGAAAACCAGGGAGGTGGATAGCAAAGGAATGGAGTCAGATCTGGACAGGCGGTGTCACCCCACTCCTCCGCACACCTTCCCAGCCACACCCAGGTAAATGTTCTCTCTTGCTGTTGTCGTAAACAGTCGTGCCATAATGATCCCCTAAGCAGGTTTTCCCAGGCCATGGGACTGAGTCCCCCTGGTGGGGCCTGAATTTCTTGCCTTACTTTTTTGTTAGAATCTGGAAAATAAGAAAATGCAAATGGCTACCTGAGGAATATTTTTTGTCAGATACAAACATACGTATGTATGTATGTACGTGTGTGTGTGTCTCTGTGTGTGTGTGTTCCAGCTGCAGCTGGTTTCTCGTGCATCCAGTTAGAGCTGCAGGGATCAGGGATTCCCTGGCAGTCACTCCTCCCTGCTGGTGGGGGCTGGCCCTGAGGGCAGGGAGACTCTCTCCTGATCTGCCCTCAATGCTTCTCCCACAGGTGCCCACCCAGCCACCAGGGGAAGGCGAAAGCAGTAGTCTCCAAGCCTTGCCCGCAGGCAGCACTGTGGTGAGGAGCTCAAGGGGGAATGGAGGCTATCTCCTTGAGCCTCTTCCTCCCCTGCCACATCCTGTACCCACTTGAGCCCCGCGGAGATTGACAGGTCACTGTCCAATTATAGTCTGGCTCAGTCCAGTCTGGATAATCTCTGCAACCACAAACAAGCTCCAGCGTCCCTCTGGAGTGCGCCAGGGTAACGCTGAGCTGCTGTAGCTACTTGCACTTCAGAATTCTCCTTCCTCATCAACAGCTGCTCTGTATGAACGTTGTCTCCAGCGCACAGGAACACTGGGCCTAAACTCCTTTGCTGTGATCACACCTGATAGTGCAACACCTGAGAAGCCCTGCCTGGAGGGGCACTAACTCATTGCCTGCCAGGCAGCATAAGGGTTCAGGCTGTCTGATGAAGGGGTGGTAGCTGTGGTTGTGGAGCGTGGGCGGCTCGCACCCCTGTCTTGCAGACCTCAGCCCTTTCTCTGTCTAGGCTTTTCACAGAAATAAACCAGTTTCCCTGATTTACCTTCAACGTCACATCAGACTCGCTTCTTTGGGGGAACCAGCCTCGGCTTCTAACAGTATCCAGCTACTGGGCCAGAATATTGGATAAAGCAAACAGACCATGATATTTAGACAGGAGATCCTGTCATGTCTCCCTAGCTGTGCTCTTTCCTCTTCTTTCCTTTTATTCTTCCTATTCATTAGGTTTTCTTCTCCATCTCAGGTTTTAATTCAGTAGTTCTCAGTGCCCGTATTTCCGTTAGTTGATTATTTTTGATTAAAGGCCCATCTTTCTCTCCCTCGCTTTCTAACATGTTTGGATCTGGCCTCTCTTCCCCAGTCCATTTTTCACCTTCTGTGTTTTTTTCTTTCCGCCTATTCGCCTTTCTCGGTGCCAGCCTCTTCCCTTCTCCCTCAGCCCCCACACTTTTGATTCTCTCCTCTCAGCTTCTAAAGCAGTCTTGTTGGTCCTGTCTCTGCACCAGTCCCCTCTCCACAGCACTATCATTTCTCTCCAGTTTTCTTGCCTCACCTACTTACTTGTTCCTCAGAACAAGTTCCAGGTTTCACAGGAGGAGTGGGTGATGGAGTAATTTTTGGTGTGTTGCACTCCAAATGCAGGTGAACTGATGGCCCTGTCTGTATAGAAACATAAGGACTACATCACCAGATCAGAGCAATGTTTCATCTAGTCTAGCATCCTGCCTCCAACAACTGCAAGTACCAGCTGCTTCAGAGCAAGGTGCAAATAATGCTATAAAGGACAATTATGAAACGGGAAGTTTCTTTTTAACCCTTGCCAGTTTATATCCCGTATAATTTTTCCCCATCTAATGTGTCTGTAGATGTTCTCATTAGCCATATAAATGTCTAATCCTTTTATGAATCCTGCCACAGTAACATCTTGTGGCAGTGAGTTCCATAGTTTAATTGTACATAGTATGAAAAAGTATTTCCTTTGATCAATTTATTCTGTATACTTTTAAACTATCCTAGTCTTTCCAATATTTTCTCCTACTGAAGTCTCCCCATATGTCAAATAATTTTCCTTGCCTGTATTTCCTCCCCTTCTATTTATACTTTTTGAAATGGATTGACCAGAATTGAGCACAGTATTCAAAATGAGGACATCCCACTCATGTACATAATGGCACTATAATATTGTTGCCCTTGGCCCAGTATTTGGGACTTTGCAGGTGGTTTTCTATTAGGGGGAGAAATTGATGATAGGACTCGGGTATCGATGGAGCAATCCTGTTTATTTCCAAAAGTGTGCACAAAAGTCCTGTTCCCCTGAATACAGAAGGAGCAACCCCCAATTCACATGGCTTCGCTCTGACCTGCCTAGTGCCTTGGGTGCTTCCACCCCTAATAGTCTGCAGTAGTTTTTAGTACATAAAGCGGCTTGGTTGCTCCTTCTGTTGAGAGTACTTGGCACACCCATTGGCTTTAATTGAGGTCTGTGATTGCCTTTGGATCTAAGGCTATGGCTATACTAGAGAGCTTACTGAGCTGCAGCTGTACCTCTGCAGTTCTGCCACTATAAGGTCTCCCGTGTAGCCACTCTATGCCGATGGGAGAGAGTTCTCCTGCCGGCATAATTAAACCACCCCCAACAAGCAGCAGTAGCTATGTTGGTGGGAGAGCGTCTCCTGTTGATGTGGCACTGTCTACACCAGTGCTTTTGTTGGTGAAACTTATGTCGGTCAGGGGAGTGTTTTTTCCACACACACACCCCCCGATCGGCAAGAGTTTGGCCGATAAAAGTGTTGGTGTAGACAGAGCCTGAGACTCACATGGTGGCAGCCTTTAGCACCTTTCAACATAACAATAGTTTGAATATTATTTTTCACTCCTTTCCTTATACATCACAACATTTTGTTTCCACTCTTCGTTGAGCAGAGGTTTTGATTCAACTGTCCAGTTATCCGCAGGTATTTTTCCAGATGTCAAGTTAATTTAGAACCCAGCAATGTGTATGAGTACTTCAGAGTATCCCTTTCTATGTACAGAGTTTCCCTTTCTATGTACATTACGTTGCACTGAGAGACAAGGTGAGTGAGGGAATATTTGACCAACTTTTGTCAGCGAAAGAGAAGCTTTTGAGCTTACACTGAGCGCTTCTTCAGACCTGAAAAATCATGGGACCAACATAGTTACAACACTGCAAAGTACATTACATTGATCAATAGTGGTAATCATCTGCCCATTCACCTCGCTTTCTAGGTCTCAAGTACCTTCTCTCGTCTTGACTTACCTAAATAATTGCGTGTCACTGCAATATTTTCCCACCTTATTGTTCATTCCCTTTCCCAGATCGTAAATGATAATATTAAAGGCACAAATCCTTACATGGAAAATTGTGGCTCCCTGCTGTTAACTTTTCACCATCTTGAAAATAGACTATTCTTTCTCTTTGTTTTCTCTCTGTTAGCCATTATGTTATCCTCAGGAGAACTTTACCTCAGAAGCCGTGCTTGTGAACCACTCTCATAACCTATGACAGGTTTCAGAGCAGCAGCCGTGTTAGTCTGTATCCGCAAAAAGAAAAGGAGGACTTGTGGCACTTTAGAGACTAACAAATTTATTTGAGCATAAGCTTTTGTGAGCTACAGCTCATTTATATACACAGAGAACATGAAACAATGAGTGTTACCATACACACTGTTTCATATTCTCTATGTATATAAATCTCCCCACTGTATTTTCCACTGAGTGCATCCAATGAAGTGAGCTGTAGCTCACGAAAGCTTAAGCTCAAATAAATTTGTTAGTCTCTAAAGTGCCACAAGTACTCCTTTTCTTTTCTCATAACCTAGACACTCGTGTGTCTTACAGTCCTTTCTTTAATTATCATTTCAACACAAGCATCCCCTCGTTTTTACTGCTTTCCCTACCCTACCCAGTGCCACAAATTGGAGCCACCAGCCTTCCAGCCAAAGAGGACCGGATGCAATCTGTTTTCATCATGATCCACCACTGCAGGGAGCCGTTAGTGGCCTTGTTGGGCACCATCTTTAGGTTTGTCCCCTCTGGGACAATCTGAAAATTGTTTCCTTGCTGCATTGGGCACCCCACAAAGTGAGGTCGTTAGGTTGTGAAGTTGGGTGAGCTGGGTTGTTTCAATGTAGCTTTGGGGATAGGTAGAAAGCAGAGATGGGAACCGTTTCAATTGAACCCCTGCCAACAACAGGGATGCACAGAAAACCGGACCCAGATCCCAACCCTTCCTGGCTTTTCCCACCCTTAATGACGTCCATCCATCTCCTCCTCTCTGCAGCTGAGCGCACTGTTTCCTGTGTGCTTCCAGCCGCTGTTGGCCTGGGGGTGCTTCTCTCTTGTTTTGATTGCGTGTGCATGTGTCTCTCCCTGCATGCAGAATCTCTCCATTCCCCGTGACTGGAGCGCAAACGCCGCCGAACACCCTCCCCACATTAGACTTGTGCTCCCAGCATTTGGTTGACCAGACAGCCCTGTACGGCTTGTATATGTTTGGTCTAGGTTACCAAGGCCTCGGCAGCGACTCCATAGTTAAGGCTGCATCGAAATCTCTCCTTCAGTATCTGGATGGGGGTTGTGGATGGCATCTGTCTGAGGTGATCTTCCCGGCGAGCGCGGGCACCAATGCCCACGCCCTTGAGCCATGCACCTGGGAGATGTGCCTTCCTGGCAGGTAGGTGCAAGGAAACGTGAACCAGAAGGTCATGCTCCTGGGCCGGGAGGGAAAAGAGCATCGGTGACTGAGATTACGTGGTGCTCTCCTGCCCAAAGGCTGTAATGAGCAAGTGCGCCTTGAACTGTTTGTTTCAGGGGGACGCTAGTTGACCTCTTTCCTCCCCAGCCCCCCACTGTCCACCCCCTGCTTCCCCTCCTTCACCAACTCCAGTTATTAAGAAAGAAGAGCCGGAGGCAGTCCTGAGCCAGAGATGCAGCAACTCCCTGCGTTCCTCCTTGTGAGTATCCCTCGCTCTCTGCTCTTGCGCCTTTCCCAAGGAGACGGATGGATGGACAGGCGGGTGGCTAGAGGCAGATGGTTCCTGCTAATTACACAGCTAATGGGGTGGGGAGCAGCAGACAGCCTCTTCCCAGCCCACCCTCTGTCCTCGCCCGTTCTTCCGCCTCTCGCCTCGGGGTTGGCCAAGCAGGAAAAACTGCTGACAGGCAAAAGGAAATGGGAAATTCAGTTACATCAGGAATCCCAGGGAGATGAGGACTCAGCAAAAAAAAAAGAAAAAGAGAGAAAAGCAGAGAGAGAAGCTCTGCTGCGGCTGAACGGCCGGCTGGATTGACAATCATTTAACCTCCCCCCAGCAACCAGCTTCGATCCTGAAATGGGACAGAGAGCAGCAGGGCCCGGATGGATGGCTGGATGGATGGACAGGGCTGGGGGGGAGGGAAACGCTGGAACGGCATCTGTTTGGAAACTCTCTTCGGAACCTCCCCTCCCCTTTCTTCAGACGTGTTGTTCTTTCTTTCTTTCTTTCTTTCTTTCTTTCTTTCTTTCTTATAAAGAGACGAAAGCAGACACTGTCTCCCATTCCAGCTCATGGGGGGGGGGGTTGGGGGGCCAAGTGAGGCAAGAGCCACATACGTTATTGCTGGGGGTTTTGGCAACGATATTGTAGGACAGTGGGAGCAGAGGAAGAGGGTGACAGATGTCAGAAGCTCCTCGACCTCTCCGGCTATTCTGCAAGGGGGGGGAGCCGGAGCATGCTGCAGGAGCTGGGACACCCTGCTCCACTGCTGCATTCATTACAGGCTGCTCACTGTGCAGGAGAATGCTCCTTTGTGGTACACGAGTGTAAATACTACTCTCTGTCTCCTCCCCCTCCTCTACCCTGCTCTCCTCCCTCCCCTCCACCTACTCCCTCTCTCTTCTCCCCAATCTCTCCTCTATCCTTCTGTCTCTCCTCTTTCTCTCTTCTCCCTCTCCTCCATTTCGCCCCCTCTGTCTCCTTGGTCCCCCCTGCTTTATTCCATCCCCGTCATTCACCGTCTCCCCTCCCCACCCCCAATCTTTCACAGGGGATTTCACTTTGCCAGGATACAATCTGGTAAATTTGCAACAGCCACCACGGAGAGAACACAGGAACCCCCGTTGGGCCCACCGTGTCCCTTTGACGGAGCATTCTGGATTCAGAGACCCCCCCAGCAGGGTTGCTTTGCTGGCATTCCCAAGCCCCCCGCCATCCCGCAAGCTTCACCTGCCCTATCTCCCTCTTCTGCTGTTTGCTTCATGGAGAACAAGAGCTGCAAAGGGGACAGCCTGCGGCCAGCTGTCCAGTGCAAACACTCTGTCGAGAAGAAGACAATGACTAACCCTACGACGGTGATTGAGATCTACCCAGACACCACCGAGGTGAATGATTACTATCTCTGGTCCATCTTCAACTTTGTATACCTCAACTTCTGCTGTCTCGGCTTCATCGCCTTGGCCTATTCTTTGAAAGTAAGTACTGATTGCAAGCCACCCTGTGGGGAACGCACTGAGCCAGAGCCACAGCTGGGGTAAATCGGTGTCGTGGCTGTTGAAGTCAGCAGAGCAATGCCAGTTTACCCCTGCGGAGGATCGGGCCCTGTCATGTTAATACGCATTGTCAGGGGAGATCTTGGGAATGGAAATGTTGTTTTGCGCGTGGTGTGGGTATCCATGGCACTCAGATACCAAGGTAATGGGCACCACAGAAGAACTGAGATAGAGAGATGAGAGGAATCAGTGACAATGGCTCTGAATTGGCTTTTATTGTGACTGGAGATTGACAATTCTCACTCATCTGGGGGTTGGTTATAGCGTAATTCTGAGAATTAGAAACAGTTGAATTTTCTAACTGGAGGACAAACAACTTCCTCCCCAGGTAGCCAGAATCCCTCAGCATCTGGAGACCTGCGTGGAGCAACCCCCATCGTCATAGGAGAGGGCTTCAACTGAATGCATAGGCTACTGAGGGCTCCCAGGTGTATGATGATGATAAGCACTTTACATCCTCCCCGTACTTTACAAATCAAACTTAATTCAGCCTGGCAATGTTTCTGCGGGGGGGCAAGGGGGAGATAGTATTCTCCCCATCTTGCAGACAGGAACACTGTGGCGACTTGGTGATGGTCCCAGAAGAAGTCCATGTGAGAGCTTGGAATAGACTCCTGGAAATCCTGGCTGGCAGTCCTGTGTTCAGCGCACTAAAGCCTCTCACATCAGTCTGGTACCAGCATGCTGAGGCTCTGCGTAAGGTGCTTTAGCTAAAGGCACTGGGCCAGATCCTCAAATGGTGTAAATCAGTGACTCACTGACTGTGGTGGAGCTCTGGTGACTTATGCTAAGTCAAAGATCTGGCCCAATACTGGAAAAGGAAGTCAGTCTTTTAAGAAGTCCTTGGGGGCCTGATTAAATCGGGACTCAATGGGAGTCCTTCCGTTGATTTCAGCAGGCTTTGGATCAGGTCCTTAGTGAGTGCTTTCTGGAGTATGGGGATAGTGAGGGCTCCAAAGAGAAGCAACTGTGCAAACTGGAGGACCTGCGAGACCGATGGGACTGGCTTTAAGCCCAAACACACCAAGCAGCCACTTGTGCCCCAGCTCTTTTTGTGTCTCCCCCCATCCCATCCTCTACAAGTTCTGCCACTCAGAGCACGGCCCCACCTCCTCTTCTAGCAGTGGGACCAGAAAGGCATGAAACAACTTGTTTCCTTCCTTGGCTCTGGCTAAAGCAGCAGTGAGGAAAGCAGCTCATGGCCTGATTCTCCCCAGGGTCCCCTAAATCATAAGGCCAGCCTTGGAGACCTGCCAGGAATGTGAAAATAAGGTCTGCTAACTAAGGTGATGGAAGACCGTGGAGGGCTTCATAAGGGAGGAATGGAAATAGGTGCATGAATGAACTGGGAGCCGGCATGTAGTGTGCAGCTCACGGAGAATGGGACCTGTGTAGTTCAAGGGTGTCCAGCCTGTATCCTGCTCTCTGTTTTCTGGATCACCCTCGAAATGGAGTCAGTCTGATTCTAAGAGGCCAGTTGCCCCAGTCTGCTACTCTTCTCTGAGGGCTCCAGACCTCTGCGTGTCTGTAAGGTAACACTCTCATAAGGTAACGCTATCCTTTGAGTCCATGAAACCTTCCGTAATTATTCCCTGTAACTGCCGATCAGAACAGACCAGCTGGGCTGCAGGATTTCATTGCTGGTGAACTGAGCCAGCAAGCAGTATCCAATCATCTGTCAAGGAAGAGAGGGTCTGAGGGTTTGGAGGGTTTTTTGTTGTTGTTGTTGTTTTTCATAAAAGCAATTAGATAATTATATATGTAAATGAGACCAAGCCCCAGGCTCCTGGGTGGCCCTGAATGTGTCATCATTTGGGTTGCCTCAGGGACAGGAATCTAGTGGATGTGTTTTGGCAGGCAGCATTTACAGGAAGGCCAGTGTACAGAGGGATTTCATCACAGAAACAGATCAATTAACCCCATCTAACTCCAGTGACTGTGATTTCCACAAGAATACAAGGAGGCTGTTTCTGAACCAGCCAGGCCCTGGGGCTCTGTTATAGCAGAGGCAGTGTGGCCTAGACCACTGAGCACAGGGACTCAGATTGCCACTCACTGGGTGACCTTGGGAAGTCCCTTACCTTCTCTATGCCTCAGTTTCCCCATCCACGAAATGGGGATGAGAATGCTCACTCACCTTCCTTGCAGGGGTGTCAGGAGGCTTAACTCACTGCTGTTTGTGAAGTGCACTGAATGTAAAGGACTATGCAAGTGCTGAGCATTACCATTGCCAGGGCTGTCCCAAGGACATTTAGGGCCACTGCCAACATCAGACAAGGATGGTATGGAAGGCTCGCTTACCACATAACACTCCGTGGGATGGGCACACCACTATAGGGCAAGAAATAGGATTTTCCCCTCTCCCCTGCCCCCCCCATGTGTTCATTAGCTTAAATTTGCTTTAATAACATGGATGCTTCTCCCCAACAAGGGAAACATTGGTGGGGCGGGGAGGAATGACTAAGACAATTAGGCTGAACTCAGGAAAAGGAAAATATAAGCTGAAGATCAGGAGACGGCACTCTCTACTGGAATCCATGGTCTATCAGTCTGTGGAACAGTCTCCTGCTGGAAGTGGGGTAATCCCCATCACTTGAGAAATATACAACTAAACTGAACCAGACAGTGGTGAATTAGCTGTAGGGCACAGTCCTGCTCCGGCAGGGGATGGACTAGACCAGGGTTTCTCAACCTTTTTGATACCAAGAACCAGCTTGCTGCCTTCCTAAACTGTGTCAGGGAGATCTTGGAGACTGGCACCAGTCCATGGACCAGTCATTGAGAAACACTGGACTTGATGACCCAACAGGTCTTTCCTATCTCTGCTAGCTTCAGTTCTTTGGCAGAATAAAAACGGCAAACGTAACGTTCCTCAGAGATACAGGACAGAGTCAGGGAATGGCAAGGAGAGAGTGACCATGATATTTCAGGCCATGATGGGGAGGACAGCATACGAGAGAAAATGGGGGAATATCTGGATGTAGCAAAAGAACTCCCCTAGGAAAGGCCTGTAGAATGGAAGAGAAAATGTGTTCATTTCTATTGTCTTAACCATCCTATAGAATTTAATAGAGAATGATATCCCTGCTGTGGAATTATTTTGAGTGTGTGTGTGTGTACGCACGAGTGCGTAAAAGACCTACACTCTTTATTAGTTGCTGTAGAATGTTAGTCATTTCTACAGAGCCCTATTGGTTTCATTTCTATCTCTGTTACATTTTGTAGGGCTTTCCCATAAGGTAACAAAAGACTGGAATGAGGAAAATATCTGGGAAAAATGTCATTAGTTAGACCTTCTTCTTGTCCCCTGAAACAAAGTTTAGCAATGCAGATTTAGGCCCCAGTCCTTCAAGGAGTACCACGCTGAGTAGAGACCCAGTGGAGTCAATGAGGCTGCGGGACCAGGGCTGCTATTATGAATAAAACCAAGGTGTTTCTTCATTGGGAACCGCAGCTGTGTGATTTCCTAGCTAGGGTGCAGCCAATGCGCTAAAGGCTTTAGGGTCCCCAGATTTTGTTCTTTAAACTTACTTCAAATAGTGTAAACATTTTTAAAACCCTAAGAAACATTGTTTTAAATAACAAAAATGCAGCATCCCATTGGCTTCATTAAGACTACTTGTGCTGAAAGCTAAGCCCATGTTTAAGTACCTTGATGAATAAGGGCCTTTAGTGTGCTTTAATATTGCCTTTAAAAATGTTTCGAAAATAATACACTCACTTCTGATCTTTCTTTGTCTTCATGCCTCCCAGGGTGCATGTGGAGAGAGAGCTCTATAGATCTCTCGCTGTGTGTAGATTGTTAGACTGCAATAGCTCCAAAATGTGCATTGGTCCCTGCACCAAAGAGCTTACATTTTCAGTCAGAGAAACGTACCAAGTGGGGAGGGGGCACGGGCTACAACATACAAGCCAAGGATTTGATATAAGCTTTGTATCTGCACACCTGGTCTTTACTTATACCCCCTCTTTCTAACCCATAGGGGGCCAGATCCTCAGCTGGTGTACATCGGTCTCGCTTTATTGACTGCCTGAAAAACTTGGCTAGGAAGACGAGTTTTGTTTTGTTTTTTCAAAAGCAAATTTTGTGGCCTTGACTTTTGCCCAGGATATTCAGCTTGCTTCCCCCCTCTCTCCTATTTCCCAGCGCTAAGCACTAATAAATGATGCATCAGCACTTACTGTTAAGAGATCAATCACCAGCAGTTTTATCACAAGAGACCTTTGGGGAAAGCCAAATCCTTCAATGTACCAATTACACAAAAAGGCAGTAGATCAGGGAGGCCGGGATCACAGTCCATTTTTATTCTAGACGTCTAATTTCAGGATGCATATATGGACATCAGGAAAATGAGGAACCTAGACTCCTTTCTGTGTCCACCCGTAGTTCCAGGGTTTTACTGATTTAAAAAAATATCTTCCCATGTGTGTGTTACATGAGGTGATCCTATGCTACCGCCAAAAGATGCATCACACCGAGCATGTGGGAGCTACAGGGCATCTGAGATCCTTGCATTTATATAGCCTGTTTTCCATTTTAAATGAACATAAGTTCTGCATATGAGTAATGTATGTGTTGGAGCCATATTGATTGTACCTTTTACTGCTCCAACTCTACTAATGGCAGTTTAAAGTGGAAAGGAAAATGAATAGAACAGCATTGGTGCAGCAACACCTGTGTCTGACGAAGAGCTTACTTTGTGGAGCCTCTTTCCTTCCCAGTGGAGATCAGGTTTTAGTGCACATCTAACCATAGGGAGGCAGTGAGGTGTAGTGAGTAGGTACAAGGCTGGGAATCAGGAAACCTAGGTCTTATTCCTGGCTCTGCCCCGGTGGGTGATTTGGGGCACTTCCTTTCTCTGTCTCCCCTCCCACATTTTGTCAGTCTTGTCTATTTAGAGTGTAAGCAGCTGGGGACAGGG